TCAGCAGGACTGGTGGATGAGTTTACTCTAATGTGAGTTCTTCAAAAAGAGAAGACATTATTGGAATGCCTGAAACACACCAATAGTTTGCTTAAAAGATTCATGGGTCCATAAAAGCTGCATAAACTGAAATCTGTTTATCTAAAGATCAGGTACGACATGGCAAATGGTAGTATGCCTCATGCTATGCTTCACTTCTGCTCTGAACAGATCACCTCTCGTGGGGAAAGCTCAATCAATCCTGTTTGTCTATAAGAAAAACCAACTATGGCTGTGATGGGTGAGTATTCAGTAGGAACCAGAGTTAAGTATGCCATCTTATTTCCCATTGTATGTCAGGTAGCTTATGTTAGGACCTCTCTTTTCCCCTTAAGTTTCACTTTAGATTAATGTTTTTAAGGAAACCAATGTTCAGCCCTTAGCTATTACTTGGGCATCTGCACACAATGCATGTGCCCTTTGAAATAATCTAACTCCTTGCCTGTGCAAGTGTTAACATTTGCACCAGGGCCAGTGGGTTTTGTGCATGCAGAGTTGAACACTTCCATGTGTACTGGTGTCAGAATATTTAAAAGGTGGTTGAAAGATGTATAGTAAGTGTTAGCATGGGCAAACTGCAAGTGTAAGTAAGTGTTTTAATGTTTTCACATGTGCACAGGTTGAGACTAGGGAGGGGCCCAGCTGAAAACTTACCCCAAAAGATTTGGAAATTGTTTAAAACTCACTAAGCATGGACAGGCTGGACCACTATAATAATAGAGTGACATAGTTTTGTTGTTTTTGTAATGTATAGAGACTTGTCATAACTATCAGAAAATTATTTCCCAGTAAATCACATTCCTGGCACCTCTAAACCAGGTGGGAATCTGGGGTCTGCATAGGCTAGAGTATAGAGAACTTAAGGATCAAATACAGTATTTACAAAGGAATCAAGAGTCTAATATTGTATAAAACCCAGAGTAAATTTTTCAGTGCTGTTTCTCCTTCTTCCATGCTTGCCCTAGTCCTTCATTTTACTAAGTTAAAGGAAAGGATGAGTATATTGCTCCCATGTTTTTTTCAGGTCCCTCTTTAAAGGTCTCTCATTTCTCAATGTATTAGCTAAAATGAGTAAGTAAAAGCTCCTGGCGGATATTATAGGCTTCAGAGTCCATAGATTCCATTTGCTCATATTCCTCCTCTAGTTGTTCCATCTGTCCTGTTGCTGGGGTAGACCACACATCTAACCCATGTTCCAGAGAGATATTATGAAGCACGCAGCAGGCCAGAATAATGTGGCTGGACTTCTCTGGAGAATATTGCAGAGTGCCTTTGGACCCATCCAGACAACGAAACCGTGATCTAATGGTTCTGAATGTCCGCTCAATTATATTGTGAGTGGCAGAATGTGCCATGTTATAACGGTATTCTGCAGGGGTCTCGGGGATATGCAGAGGTGTCATTAACCATGTTCGGAGAAAGAAGGAGCTGTCACCTGTCAAAGGAAATAACCAGAGTTTACATGCAAATACTAACAGCAGATCTCAGCTCTTCATTCCTAAACTAAGTAGTGTAAAACTAGGCAACTCCCTAGCACTGTGTATAGTGATTTCTTTGGCTTTAACACAGAACATGGGCAAATCCAAGCAGGCATGAACAGCGCGTGCCCACGGCTGTGCTGGCGGCGGCGAGAGCGTGGCAGCTGCAGCAGGAGCATGGCAGCAGTGAGCGCGGAGCTCCTGCAGATGAGGCCGGCATTGTCGGCAGCAGAGGGGAGGGTGGTGAGCGCTGACCAGGGGTCAGCGACCACCTGCAGGTGGCAGGGATTGCTGACCGTCCGCAGACACCGCTGGTGGTGTTGGTGGTGGGGTGGTGAGTGGCGACCGCCCGCAGGTGCTGCCGACAGTGTTGGCGGCCACTTCTTGCAGGGTATGCACTGCACCTGCATGCACCTCCTACGTGTCACCCTTGCAAGCATGCGTGAGAAGAGCATGGTTAGGTTTGCACATGAGACCAACAAGAAGAAAACTTAAGAGCAATTCCATTCTACCAGAGTAAATAAAGGCAGTGGGAAACGAATTTAGAGAGGGCACAGTTACTACACATATGCAAACATTTTGACTAGAAGCACATGTAGAATAGAGGACTGTGCAATTCAGCCTAGGGAAAAATAAACTGAGTTATGAGGACAAGGACTAATGGGTTCTAAGGAAAGAGCTTTCATAGGCAACAACCTATTTCATCAGATGCTAGGAATGGACCAGACAAGGACAAAACAGGAGAGCTGTATACAACTGCAGTTATTAGATTCTGTGAAACAATAAGTAGGTCACTGCTCTTCCAGTTCTCTGAGCCAGGCAGAGGCCACTCATCCTTTAGATCCCAGGATGAGTTTGAGAGACTGCAGTTAGAAATAACCCATTTTTACTTGTAAACGAAGCACAGCAGATCCAAACTCAGATAACCATGGAACCCCAAAGGCACATTTACAGAGTTAATTTTCAGAGTAGGACCACATATCCTACCCCCCACACGCACATTTTCCATGGAACATGGCCCTAGATAGCTTTTCCCTTGTATTTGCAATTGGGTAGGTGTGCTCTTATAGGCAATAGTAAAACAAGTGACATGTGCCAGTGAGACCAAGAAAGATGTCCCAAGTCAGCTGGGGTTCGTTTGCACTAAAAGTGAACCTCTGTCAGTGATATTTCAACCATGAGTCTAGTCTGCTGCCTTCTCTGGTTGTTCCATCTGTCCTGTCATTGAGGTAGACCACACGTCTAGCCCATGTTCCAGAGAGCTGTTACAAAACGCACTGTAGGCCACAGGGGACAATGGGAATTAACTTACCAAGCAACCATCCATCTTTGTGCAGCCCAGCTTCAAACTGGCTGGTAAGGGCTGCCTGCTGTAGCACAGTGCAGTCTTGCAGGCTGCCCGGACAGTGTGTCTCTACACTCAGAAGTACTCCTCTGGCATCACAAACCATCAGGCAGTTTAAAGAGTGCAGGCCCTTTCGGTTCACATAGGACAGGTCCTCAGCATTTGGTGCTTTGATTGCCACATGGGTGCAGTCAACCACCCCTAGCACTCCTGGGATCCCTGCCAGGCTATAGAAGTCATCCTTCAGGCTCTGCATTGAGGCTTCATCCTCTGGAAAATGAATGAATTGTGAGGCTCTTTCCACCAGTGCCTCGGTGACATTGGCAACACAGCGGCTCATGGAGGCCTGGCTGATGCCAATGGCATCTCCCATCCTAGTCTGAAAGGAACCAGAAGTATAAAAACCTAATGCAGCAAGAATCTGTGTCTCTGGACTGATGGCCCTGGACCGCTGTGTAGGGCGAGAGAGGCTGGCTCCCAGAAGATCCACCAGATAGTAAATGAATTGTCGGGGAAAGCCATACATGGACATCAGATACTCATCAGTGACATCCTCCAGCTTGAAGCGATCCAATGTCCTATGTCCACGGCCATACAGCAAGAGGTCACAGTCGAGAACTGCTATAGGTACAGCCATAGCCAATGCCCAAGGAAGCGCTAGGAGCTGCTTCCAGTGTTTTCACCTGCACAGAAGCAAATGGAAGGGAGATTCAGAACAGTTTAGAAAATTCAGCCCATTGCCATCTTCCCTGTGTCCAGGTTACTGCCAGCAGCGTAAGGAATGCTCACCTAAGAGAAATTGACAGAGCAAATCTCTTTTTGTTTCCAATTCTGTTTGATTTTTTTAAAAGCTAGGATCAGTTTTAGTGGCCATTGAAAGGTGCCGAGGGAACTGAGTCAGTCAGTCCAGTCTGAGACCAAGAGCAGAGTGAGTTTCTCTGCAGTCCTATCACTATGCCTTCACTTTTACAAGAAATGACCTGCAACAGGGCTTGGAGGGTTCAGCCTCTTTAGCTCTTCCACTGCAGATGCCAAGGGGCTAGTTGTGGTCTTGGTTTTCATCACATACCTAGTGGGAACTGCTACTGAAATCACAACGAATCTGTATTTCACAAACAGAAAAACTTCCAGTTGCTACCAACTCGGCTCATGTGTTAACTAGTCATCAGAAGACATATAAGCCACTGGGAAATTTTCCTCTTATTTCTGCTCTGTCATTGAACCAGTTAAGCAAGTTGGATGAGGATGATTCTTCCTTTCTGATGGCAGGGTATAGACTTATGCACCTTATAAACTTAACTAAATCAGAGATACACAACTTTTCATACTCCCCAGCTCTTTGCTTTCAACTTTTTTCTTTCAGAGCCAGTTTGTTTTATGAAGAGCCTCAACTGAAGCAGGTGAGGGTGTGCAATCTCAGAACGACACAACCAAAGATGCTCTCTCCCTAGAAAGTTGGAGAAACAAATACCGGCTCTTCCACTTCACAAGATCACATGTCCTGGACAGCAATCCCCTGAGTCTCCTTTGACCATACCAGGTCACTGAGAAGGCATGGTAGATCTGTACCTTATAGACTGGGGTGTTCAACCTCCAGCCTGTGGGCCAAGTACAGCCTGCTGAGTTATTACATCTGGTCTGCAGGGATCCCCACAGGTCAAGAAATCTGGCAGCAAGGAGCAGGCATCATTAATACTGCCACCCTCTCCTGCTGCCAAATTCCTATACCCACTCCTCTCCCACAGCCAGATCAGGCTGGGCCCCTTCTCCCCACACGGCTGGACTGGTTGAGCTAGGGCTGGGCAATGCCCCTTCTCCCCTGGCTTGGGGCCAGGCTGTGCCCACTTCCCCTCACGTGGCTAGATAGGAATTAGGCTTCCCACTGCTCCGTCCACACAGCTGGATTGGGCCCCACGGTGCCAGCCTTGGGCCCCAAATCAGGGCCACCAGCTGGATCCGGCCTGCAG